GGCAGGAGGAGGAAACTCTTGGTGCTGTTGAAAATCTGGTATTTCTCTCGCTCCTGTGGATGCTGGCAGGAGAGGGAGGAGAGAACAGAGCCCAGCCAGGGGCTCCAGGGCACACTCAGGGCCCCCACAGCCCGGGGAAGGCGATGCTGCCCTGGGGACGAGCATCCCTTCCCGGAGGGGATGCAATTCCCTGCTGGGGGAGGAATAAACTCAGCAAGGAGAGCACCCAGCTCCTCATCTGCATCCCACGGGCTCCTGGCAGGCGCTCTCGGCCTCCAACAAGGGCTGGGAAGGCTCAGGGCTGTGGGAAAATTTGGGAATGGGGCGGGAAAGGCCGTGTGGATGGGCTTTGTACCAACCTGGGTGAGGCGGAGACACAGACTCTGCAAACTGGATGCTGCTGCTGCTGCTGCTGCTGTCCCAGGGAACCTGAGCAAGGAGGAGGGAAGGAGAGGAGCTGTGGCACAGAGCAAGGTGAGTCTGGATTGCAGAGAAAACTCTTTAAATAAACCTGATTTCCCTCCTTGCTGTGGCTGGGAAAACCTCCCCAGCGTCAACATTAGATGAATAACAGGATTAGAACATTAGATGAACATTAGATTAGATGAATAACATTAGATTAGAACATTTGATGAATAACAGGATTTTTCCTGTTATTCAGGATGTTCATGTGCATAACAAGATTTTTCCTGGTGGCAGCCAGGATTTTTCCTGGCAGGATTTTTCCTGGGAACCACAGCACCCACCCGGTGTGAAGCCCCTGGATCAGCTCCGTGCTGAGGGGTTTTTTTTTTGCTGCATTCCCGATTTTACAGAGCTGCCTCTGAAACTAATGTGTGTTCATTTCCAGGAGCATGAATTCCACAGTGGAGGGAACCCCAAGGAATTCCTAGGGATGGATATTACTGGGAATGAGTAATTAACTACAGGTATCCCACCAGACTGGATTGATGTCGTTTGGTTGATCTACAGGACCTCTGGAAGGGACATTCCCCATCCTGCAGCCTCTCCCAATTTATCTGGGGCTCCCCATGGCAGAACCAGCTCTGGCAGCTTCGTTTTTTAAGGAATGCTGAAGCAAGACAAATCAACCACTTCTAGGAACCTGACCTTCTGGAAGGAAGAAATCCACCCCAAAAGGAGTTTTGTTGTTTGAGGGCCAGGATTTTACTCTGCAAGTACAAATACTGGTGGGTTTTTTTCCCCTCAGTTTTAATTCATACAACCCTCCACTTCATCTCCTTTACTCAAGATGCTCTCCAGTGAACAGCTCATTTCCCTGGCAACAACTTCCCAGCACATCCCGTGCATTTAATCCCTTAAAGGGTGTCTCTCTGGGCTTTTTGTCCCTGCTGCAGATGTGACCAGGCAGAGATGGAGTCCCCAGGCTGAGCTTTTCTCAGCACACATCTTGCCAGCCCAAAGCCTCGGGGGTTTTGGGGTGCAGGTCACCGAGGTGACTTCCCTCCCCACCACTTTTCACTTTTTCCTCTGTGGGCACCACAGGGGTTGTGTGAAGAGCTGGTGGGAAGTGAAAACCGGTTCCACGCAGCCCTGGGACACCTGGCTGTGATGAGGAGGCTGCTGCTCTCGGGGCTGCAGGAGAGGAGTGACCCAACATCTCCAAAACCTGACAATTCTCTTCACCCAGACCTCTCTGCCCCTGGATCTCGGGCTGATTTTTGTGCAATCAGCTGCAAATAAGTGAAATAAATTTCAGGAGCTGAAATCTGAAAGGCTTCAAGAGCTGCTGTGTCATGAACCAGGAAGAAATGATGATTTGCTAAGCTCTTTATGCAAATCCCTGGAGTGGCTGGAGCTGGAGGAATCCTACAAAGGCTGGAAGAGGGAATGAGAGGGAATGTGCACCTGTGTGTGCACACAGAGCTCCAGCCCCTCCTCCAGAAGGGATGGGGCTGCCCGGGTGAGCCTTTTATCCCGGAGGGAGTGACTTTTCTGGAGCAGCAGCTCTGCTTTCTCCCTGTATTCCTCAGATTCTCTCTCCTTGAGGTCACTGCTGCAGCTATTCTGACTTAATGTTCCTTTCCCCCAACCTCATCAGTCTGTCACACTCAGATTTTGGCCCACAGATTACAGTCCTGGCAAAAAAAAAAAAAAAAAACAAAAATACCCAACCAACCAACCAAAACCAAACAAAACAAACATTAAAAGAGAAGTTACAAAGCAAACACCACAATATTTTTACTCACTGCTGAACCAGTGGCTGCTTGTCGTGCTCTCCTCTGCTGCAGCAACTCCTTGACTGTGATCTTCACCCTCACACCTTGGTACACCTTGGGCTTTCCTGGAAGAATTTGTGGAAAAACACTTTGCAAGGAGGGAGAATCTGAGAGCAAACAGCAAATCCAGCAGGTGTTCAGGTGTGCTCTACGTGGAGAACAGTTTTAGACTGAACATGACTAATTAGTCTCTGTTTGCAGCCACACTCACAGCCCTCTTTAACACCTGCTTTTCTAGCTTGGGACAAGCAGACACTTGTGAAAATCTTGCTGTTGATAATATTTAATAACCACATGTTTATTCTTTTCTATCTCCTTCTTCCCCTGCCCCCCTTCCAGCTTTCCCAATACCAAGTTCCATCTGGTGCTGCTGCTGTTGGATTCATTGAAATTCCTGACATATTTGCCTCTCTCAGGACCTGAAAATAAATGTGGGAAGCGTTTCATCTGGCAGATGAAGCCCAGGAATAAAACAATGGAAATATGTGGGTGGTTATTCAGAGAGCTCCACAAAACACCAATAAAACGACTGCTTTCTTGCAAAGCCTAGATTATCTCTTTATTCTGCTCATGTACAGCCCCTATTTATTTCAAACAAGAATTTAGGGTGTGTTTAATCCAGCCAAAACCAGCCAGCAATCACCAGTCACTACCCAAGGAGGGATTTTTAGGACAGGAAATGATAAAGAATTCACTTCTTCTGACAAACCACTTTCACTTGTTGCACTCATGGTAAAACACTCAGATCCTCTGGCGGTTGTTCCTGCCCAAACTTTCTGCTGGTGTTTTAACCCAAATCCCACAGTAAAAGGAAACACACCCAGACTGTCTCTACACTCAAAAAAATGCCACACCAGGGAGCAGACAGCCCCGGAGGAGGCACCAAAAATAAACTCCCAGCAAGAGAACAGCAGTGCCAGGGCTAAACCTGGCATTCCAGTGCCACCTCTGGGCACAGAGCAGCGTCGCCAAGGCAGCTGCACAGCGCCAGCAGATCCTGGCACAGAAACAAGGCTGGGTTTGCAGGCTGTGCCCACCCAGCCAGGGAATCCTGCACTGTGGGCACTGTCCCCTTCTGCTGTCACTCTGCCAGCCCTCCCAGTGCCCCCAGCTGCTCTGGGGAGGACAAGCTGGGGCAGGCACCCTCCAGGGAGGTGACAGGGCTGCCCTCAGGGCGGTTTGCTGAGCTGGGGATTATTCATCTCGTGTTTTGGTGCTTGGTTTCTCCTCAGCAAACTGCAGCTGGGGAAAATGAGGGGAGGGGAAGGTGGGATTTGAGGAGAACACCCCCATTACCAGACCTCCCTGCAGCCAGGGAGGGCTCTGAGCTAGCAGGGCCAAGGGCAGGGTGGTGAGGGTGGGCACAGGGTGGGCAGGGCATGGGGGGAGTCAGGAGCAGGGTGATGGGGCTGGGGGTCAGAGAGCAGGGTGATGGGGCTGGGGGTCCAGGGACACAGTGATGGTGATGGGTATTGAGGGAAAGGCTGCTGAGGGTGGGCTGGGAGTAGGGGGACAAGAACAGGGCGGGGATTTGAGGTCGGGGAGCGGGATTGGGATTCAGGGGCAGCGTGGCCAGGGTGGAGTGTGCGGGGAGGGCACGGAGAGATGCAGGGAAGGCACAGAGATGCAGGGAGGGCACAGATGCAGAGAAGGCACCCAGAGATGCAGGGAGGGGCACGGAGAGATGCAGGGAGGGCACAGACATGCATGACAGATGCAGAGAAGGTGCCCAGAGGTGCAGGGAGGGCACACAGAGATACGGGGTGGGCACACAGAGGTGCAGAGAAGGCACCCAGAGGTGCGGGGAAGGCACACAGAGATGCAGAGAGGGCACCTAGAGGTGCGGGGTGGGCACGCAGAGGTGCAGAGAAGGCACCTAGAGATGCAGGGAGAGCACCCAGAGATGCAGGGAGGGCACAGAGAGATGCAGAGAAGGCACCCAGAGATGCAGGGAGAGCACCTAGAGATGCAGGGAGAGCACCCAGAGGTGCAGAGAGGGCACCCAGAGGTGCGGGGTGGGCACACAGAGATGCAGGGAGGGCACCCAGAGATGCAGGGTGGGCACCCAAAGATGCAGGGAAGGCATACAGAGATGCAGAGAGGGCACGCAGAGATGCAGAGAGGGCACACAGAGATGCAGGGAGAGCACCCAGAGATGCAGGGAGGGCACCCAGAGATACGGGGTGGGCACAGAGAGATGCAGGGAAGGCACCCAGAGGTGCGGGGTGGGCACACAGAGATACGGGGTGGGCACACAGAGATGGAGAGAGGGCACCCAGAGATGCAGGGAGAGCACCCAGATATGCACGGAGGGCAACCAGAGATGCAGGGAGGGCACGCAGAGATGCAGAGAGGGCACCTAGAGGTGCGGGGTGGGCACACAGAGGTGCAGAGAAGACACCCAGAGGTGCGGGACCCGCTGTGTCCCCCCGGCCGGGGCTGGCAGCGCAGCCGGAGCCCCGAGCCCCGCTGGGTGCCCGGTGGTACCCGGCGGTGCCCGGTGGTACCCACGGTACCCGGTGGTACCCGGCGGTGCCCGGCGGTGCCCGGTGGTACCCGCGGTGCCCGGTGGTACCCGCCGAGCCCGGCACCGAGCCGCGGGCAGCCGCCGCTCCCGCCGCGCCTCCTCCTTCCCTCCCTCCCTCTCCCCGCCCTCCCCGCTCCCTCCTGCCCTGGCAGGCGGTGTCGCCTCGCTGGCGGGGTGACCCCGGGCACCCCGAAACGGCCCCGGGGCGCTGGCGGGGCCGGGGGGCTCCGCACTTACCGGACATCCCGAGGCGGAGCGGGCAGCGCCTCGCCGGGCACCCGGTGCTGCGGCACGGACAGCCCAGCCCCGGCCCCACACCGCCGGCCAAAAGGGGCCAGAGCAGCCTGCCCTGAAATTTGGGGGTGAAAGCACCCGAGTGCCCGGTGAAAAGGGCAGGTGGATCCCGGCAATATTATTGTTTTATCCCTACGGGTATAAGTTTGAGTTTTTCTCTCCTAATGGCAAGTATTTAAAACCTCTAGAAACCAATGATTTGACAATCAATGATTGCGCGATACTTTCAATTTGAATATTCAAAGGCTCCACAAAATGGGCTATCTTTTTGTGAAGCTGAGCACATCCCCATCTAGCAGAGGGTCTGGGGGAATAGGATTTGGTGGGGTCACCCTCCCCACCCTTAGCTTTTGGGACATTTGCAGGGTTTTAGCCATCTTCCCCTGAATGAAGCAGATGCCTCCAAAGCAGCTCGGTGTTTTCTCCTCAGATGCACAGGCTGGGCTCCAGCCCTCTCATATTTCATTTGCTACCTGCCGTGAGCACTCTGCAAGGCACCGATTTGCTTTTTGCTGGTTTTTTTTTACATTTTAAGGCTAAATTCTGAGGGTTTGGGGCCAAAATGGCAGCGGGCAGGCGTGGCCTAACAAAGAGGCTGCCCTGGGCACCCAGAGGCTGAAGTTAGCTGGAACCCACTTTCCCACAGCATTCCCTCCCTCTGCCTGGATGCTGGGCTCACTCTGGAGTTTGTTTGTGTTTTCCCCCAGCTCAGGCTGTTCGCCCGTGCTGCACAAATCGGCTTTTTCCTCACAAGCCTCAGTGCTGGCCTGCCCTGGGAGCTGCAGCTGTGGGGTTCAGCGTGTGCCTCAGGCTTTTGGGATGCCCAGCAGTGCTGGAAGTGGGTTTTTAGGCTGCTTTTAAGCTTTTCCCTGAGGACCACAGGCTCTGCAGGCCAGGCTGTTAATCATCTACCAGCAGCTCAGGCTGGCTGTCGTCACAGCCGAACCTTTTCTTTTCCTTTAAGTTGAACAAATAACACTTGATTTCTGCGGGGAGTGAGGCCATTCCTGGCTCTGAAATGTGGTCCTGCAGCTCCTGCTAGGCTGAGCCTGGCCTGGGACAGCGTTATAGGGATGTGTCCCTATAAAGAGAGGAGCCCACTGCCCTGAGCACAAAGGAGAGTGCTGTGCAGGCAGGGAGGGGGTCTCACTGCGGAATTTGGGGAGTGAAACCCTTCCCTGCTGGAGCTGCTGTGGGTGGGTGCAGGCTGCAGGGAGCTGGGATGGCGATTGTTTAGCCCTGTAAGCAGGGAGCAGAGCCTGCAGGCTGCCCAGCTCCAGCTCGGGATGCCCTCAGGAGCCGTGAGGCAGCAGAGTTCTGGCTGATCCTGCTGTTCCTGAGCTGCAGAGCCTTTCCAGGCTGCTGGAAATCCTCCCTGGCTTAGCAGCTGAATGCCTGAGCACCTCAAAGACAGCTCCAAACCCTGTCCCTGCTTGTCCCCCAGAGCCCGAGGGCAGCACAGCCACCCTGGCCTGGTGCTCCCACAGCAGGAACAGCTCAGATGTCACTGGGTGACACATGGGTCACAACAGTGACACCTCCACAGGTGGAAAATTTAACATTTTCCAGCCACTAGCACGCTCCAAGCTGAGAACTGAAGCAGGGTGGAAGGGCAGCTCTGGCTGCTCCTGCTGTTCCTGGGCTGCAGAGCCTTTCCAAAAACCCTGTCTGGCTGAGGAACTGAGTGCCTGAGCGGGTCAAACACCTCAAAGACAGCTCCAAACCCTGTCCCTGCCTGTCCCCCAGAGCCCGAGGGCAGCACAGCCACCCTGGCCTGGTGCTCCCACAGCAGGAACAGCTCAGATGTCACTGGGGCTCAGGCCAGCAGTGGTGTCAGCTGTGGAGTTGAAAAGGCTGAGATTTGGAGGCAGGAGAGCTGCACACACCCTGAGCTGATGGGGGAAAGGCTCAGGTTTGGGGGCAGGAGAGCTGCACACACCCTGAGCTGATGGGGGGAAAGGCTCAGGTTTGGGGGCAGGAGAGCTGATGGGGGAGCAGCTCTGGCTGGGCTGGGGCCACCCCTGGAGGCTCCACAGCTGCCCCTCATGGGGAGGTGCTGGGAGGTGCTGGGAAGTGTTGGGAAGGCTTCAAACACCGCATTTGAGGAGAATTTGAGGATTTGAGGAGAAAAGGCAAGGAGGGATTGAAAGCACCTGATCCCCACACATTCCCTGGGGCTGGAATGCTCCAGAGCCTCCTGCTGCTGCTGTGGGTGCCAGGCTCGGGGGCGAGCTGGGGCAAAGGGGGCGACCTGCTCCGTGGGGCACAGCAGCGGGATGTGGGGCACAGCAGAGGGATGTGGGGCACAGCAGAGGGATGTGGGGCACAGCAGCGGGATGTGCTGCTCCGGGAGGAGTTTGTGTGTGCAGAGCTACCTCTAGTGGCCACGGGCCCCGCAGGGTGCCCCGGGCTGGCTACTGCTCCCCTGGCACTGCCAGCCCACCTGGATGTCCTTAGGGCTGGCTGCCAGTCCTTCTCTCACTGCCAGCCCACCTGGATGCCCCCAGGGCTGGCTACTGGTCCTGTTGGCACTGCCAGCCCACCTGGATGTCAATAGTTCTGGCTATTGGTCCTGTTGGCACTGCCAGCCCACCTGTATGCCCCCAGGGCTGGCTACCAGTCCTTCTCTCACTGCCAGCCCACCTGGATGTCCTTAGGGCTGGCTACCATTCCTGTGGCACTGCCAGCCCACCTGGCTGCCCCCGGGGCTGGCTACTGGTCCTGCTGGCACTGCCAGCCCACCTGGCTGCCCCCGGAGCAGCCCACTGTGGGTGAGGGTCTGCTGGGGGCTCATTCAGGGTATGAGGGGTGTCAGGGTGTTTGGGGCTCTGCATGTGGCAGGGCTCAGCGGGCAGGGCAGTGCCCACCGCCCCGGCTGGAAAAGCCCGCTGAGGAGGGATCCTTGCTGGCAGGAAAAACCCACAGAGCGTAGAGGGTTTTCAGGCTGAGGGTTTTACTTGTGGGGTGGGAGAAATTCCTTTCTCGAGGCTCTGGAAGGCACCACCCCGAGCTGTGGTGTGGCCAATGATTGTATTTCTAACCAGAGCGCATCAACTTTGAAGGAGCAGTTTTAGGAAGGAGCAGTTTTAGGAAGGAGCATAAAATCTGCTTTATAATGATCTGGTTTTCTTTCCTCCAGCTCTTCTCTCTCCTCAGTAAGTTCTTCTGCCTTCATAAGTTCCCCAGAGGGCACTTCCATCCTCTCTAGGCCAGGCAGAGTGCTCGGGAAGGTGTGGTGGCTCCAGGGGCTGCTCAGGACACGGGTGGCTCATCCTGGAGGGCTCACTGGCCACAAACGGGGACAAGCTGTAGGGCGAGGTGGCAGCGTAGCTGGGGGAGTAGTGGGCATCTTCAAGGGGGTGCAGAGGGTAGGGCTGGGCTCCAGGGAGGGCTGGGGTCCAGCCTGAGCCTCGGAACGGGGAAGCAGCTCTGGCTTCGGGCAGGGAGAGGCAGCTGGAGCTGGCAGGGAGCGGCTGCAGCGGCTCTGGGCAGGCACTGTCCGGCTGGCCGAGGCTCTCGGGTGAGCTCTGCTCCCAGGGCTCTCTCTGCAGGCAAACAGGGAGAGAAGGCAAGGAAAACGCTTAGGAACAAAAGGCAGTCCTGGAGGTAATGGGATTTCTATCCTTGGTAATGCCCAAAGGGTTTCTGTGGCTCTGGAGCAGTGGTTGTGGTTTAGCTGTGGAAGGAAACGTCCATCCTGTGAGCAGGGCCTGGAGTAGGGCCCAGCAGGACTGAGCAGCCCTGACCCTGCAGGGTCGGAGCCCAGCACATCCCCCTGGCTGCCCTGGCTGGCCCCAGACCCTGGCAGGAGCTCAGGGACCCTAGCACGAACTCAAAAACACCTGTGGCTTCCATTTTAGCCCATGGAAAAAGCTGCCAACTCTGTATGAGGAATTACAAACCACAAGGGTTTGAGTAGTGTGATAGTTGAATTAACACAGGGTGGAAAAGTAGAATTTTGGGGGTTTTAGAATGTAGGTCAGGGGGTCAAAATGGAGGAATCTGGGCCTTCTCCTTGCCCTCCATGTCTTGCTGTGCTGGTGACACTTTTCTGTTGGTTTAAGGCACAGACACACTGTCCAACATAAATGACAGATATTGGCACGTTATTATAAACATGGCACAGGTAGTTTTTGGTATAAAATGTGAACACCTCCCTGAGGGCAGACAGCATGCCTTGAGACCAGACAACAGAGACTGCTGAGCCTTTCTTTGGAAGCTCAGGTTGGAGGAGAGACTTTCCACCACACGGAGCCACCCCTGACCTAGAGGTGACCTCTGGCTCCCCACGAGTCCCCCTGACCAAAGCCCACATTTCAAGGGGTGACCTGCCCTGGGGGACAGGACCATGAGGCACTCACGAGCAGGAGGTGCCCGGTGTCGCTGGGGAAGGGTGGCAGGAGAGGGGGCACGGCCGCAGCGCTGAAGAAGGAGCTGGCAGCAGCTGGGAGAGGAGGAGGAGCAGCACGGTGATCCCCAAAATGCTCGCTGAGATAGGGCTCCAGGAGGGCTGGGTAGCCCTGGGGGGCAGAGGGGTCGCAGGAGAAGGGTTTGGAGCCCAGAGAGGAGGGGTAGACATCGCTGACACACTGCTTGCTGCTGTGGAAATCCAGCTCGGCCGGGAAGGATCTGCGCCCGCCGTAGTAACCAGCCGTGGTGGGCGAGCCTGGGGGGCAGAAAGAAGGGTGAGAAAGTGGAAAGAAAACTCCAACAGCTGCCACAGCACGATGGAGACCTCGGTGGGTGCAAAGCAGAGCCATTTTCTCACCAGCATCACCCAGGAACCCACCCTGCCGTGGCACAGGAGTTCCTTTTTCACATTTTGGCTCCATCTGGTGATCTCCACCAAAAGTGTTGGGGAAGGTTTGGATAGGAGGGCAGGGAGATGGAGGTCAGCTGAGCCAGGCTGTGCTTCTTCCCTGCTCTGCTACAGCCCCTGGGGAGGAGGTTCCAGCTTCACTCTGCTTTCCCTGCCCGAGAGGTCAAGGGATAAAACAGGTCAGCTCCTCATATTGTGCTTTTTCTCTCCACCTCCAGGGAAAAGGGGAAAACACGGGAGGAAAAGGGGAAAACACAGGAGGAAAAGGGAAAAAACACAGGAGGAAAAGGGAAAACACAGGAGGAAAAGGGAAAAAACACAGGAGGAAAAGGGAAAACACAGGAGGAAAAGGGAAAAACAGGAGGAAAAGGGGAAAACACAGGGGGAAAACAGGAGGAAAAGGGAAAAACACAGGAGGAAAAGGGAAAAACAGGAGGAAAAGGGGAAAACACAGGAGGAAAAGGGAAAAACACAGGAGGAAAAGGGAAAAACACAGGAGAAAAAGGGGAAAACACAGGAGGAAAAGGGGAAAACACAGGAGAAAAAGGGGAAAACACAGGAGGAAAAGGGAAAAACAGGAGGAAAGGGGAAAACACAGGAGGAAAAGGGAAAAATGGGAGGAAAGGGGAAAACACAGGAGGAAAAGGAGAAAACAGGAGGAAAAGGGGAAAACGCAGGAGGAAAAGGGGAAAACACAGGAGGAAAAGGGGAAAACACAGGAGGAAAAGGAGAAAACACAGGAGGAAAAGGAGAAAACACAGGAGGAAAAGGAGAAAACAGGAGGAAAAGGGGAAAACAGGAGGAAAAGGAGAAAACACAGGAGGAAAAGGGAAAAACGGGAGGAAAAGGGGAAAACACAGGAGGAAAAGGAGAAAACAGGAGGAAAAGGGGAAAACGCAGGAGGAAAAGGGGAAAACACAGGAAGAAAAGGGAAAAACACAGGAGGAAAAGGGAAAAACACAGGAGGAAAAGGGAAAAACAGGAGGAAAAGGGGAAAACACAGGAGGAAAAGGAGAAAACACAGGAGGAAAAGGGGAAAACGGGAGGAAAAGGAGAAAACACAGGAGGAAAAGGAGAAAACAGGAGGAAAAGGGAAAAACACAGGAGGAAAAGGAGAAAACACAGGAAGAAAAGGAGAAAACACAGGAGGAAAAGGGGAAAAACACAGGAGGAAAAGGGGAAAACAGGAGGAAAAGGGGGAAAACAGGAGGAAAAGGGGAAAAACAGGAGGAAAAGGGAAAAACACAGGAGGAAAAGGGGAAAACAGAGGAGGAAAAGGAGAAGACACAGGAGGAAAAGAGGAAAACACAGGAGGAAAAGGGAAAAACAGGAGGAAAAGGGGAAAATACAGGAGGAAAAGGAGAAAACACAGGAGGAAAAGGGGAAAACAGGAGGAAAAGGGGAAAACAGGAGGAAAAGGGGAAAACAGGAGGAAAAGGGGAAAACGCAGGAGGAAAAGGGGAAAACACAGGAGGAAAAGGGAAAAACACAGGAGGAAAATGAGGGGTTCTCTATGGCTCCTCTGCTCAAAGAGGTGGGAACTGCTTTAATTACTCTGTTTGAGGATTTTATACAGATTATTGCTGTTCTTTTTGTGATTCCTTTAACTGCTTTCCTCCTGGGCTCGCTGTGAGGGGTGGCCCCGCTCTGGGAATTGTTTCACATCCTCTGGAGGAGAACAGGAGGGCTCTGCCCACCCTCCCACCTGCACTGAAGGTGTTTAGCAGCAGAGAGAAAACCTCACCTGGCATTTGGCCAAAGGGTGACTGTGCTGTGCTGGTGCTGCCCTGCAAAAGATAAAGAGATGTTTGAAAACATGACTTTTCAAAGCTAGGCAGCCCTCTGAGTGAATTCACACACAGTATCTGAGCCTGGGCGCTGTGAAGGTTTAACTCCATGGTTTCCTCACAGGAATCAGAAGAGATTGGGAAGGTCTTGTGCAGTAATCGAGATGACTGACTTCTTCCTGCTGTCCCACAGGGTCCCTCAAACAGGCAGAATGCTGAGGAGTCCTTTGGGTGTTGGCACAAACCAGGCAAGGTGAGATCTGAGCCCCTGGGTGGCCAAAATGGGCAGATTCCAGCTCAGCTGTGCTGAGTCTGCTGCCCCAGGGCTGCTTTACCTGGCCCTTCCTGGCAGGCTGGGTGGAAAGAGAGTTCCTAGATCGTATTTGGGTCCTACAACAATGGTTATGATAATAATAATTATATTATTAATCATCATTCTCTCCTCTTGATCCCTGGGTGAAGGAGAATTACCCCTGGAGTGACCCTGGTGCTCCCAGTGACTAAATCCTTCCAAAGCACCCTGGAAAGGCATCTGCTCCTCTGGAATCCCACTGAAATGTGGTTTTGGGAGCTCCAAGCCCCCAGAGCAGGAACAGAGAGCCCCCAGCAGCACTGGTGTCACTCTGCTGTGCCCTGGCCATTGCTGGTGGCACTCTCTGTCCAGTTTGCATAGTGCAAACAGGAGGTTCCTGCCACAGCAGGCAACCAAATTTAGAGGTTTAGATTTGAATTAAATTTGCCAGCCCTGAGGACTTCCTTCTGCTGCCGAGGGAAGGTTTGCAGCTGCTCCCTGCTCCTCCAGAGAAATGAGCTCTGAGCCTGCAGAGGTGGCAGGAGGTGACAGGAGGTGTCAGGAAGGAGCTCCAGGGCTTGGGGACAGAGGAGTGTTCTTGTCACACGGGCAGGGCTTGCACCTGTCCCCAGCTGAAGCCATCACATGCAAATCCAGGTCCTCTCCCAGCACCCAGGTCACTTTTAGAGGAGAAAGCCAGGCTGGCAGGCTCAGGCAGCACAGGTGCTGTGGGGATGGAAGCTGGGATTTCCAACTTCCAGAGCATTTAATCTTTGATCCTGTCTGTTCAACAGCCACTGGAACTGCCTGGCTGTGTGTGCACACCTGTGGTGGAGAGTCCCAGAGGTGGCAGGAGCTACCAGGGCTTTACCTGCCTGAAATCACTGCAGGAGCCTCTGCTGCAGCCCATCCTTGGCCTCATCAGAGCAGAGCCTTGCATTTCATTCCCCTCCTTGCTCCTTACTGGACTTAATTGAGAGCCATTAATTCATTTCCTCCCGGCTCTGCTTCCTTTCCCTGCCATGGGAATGGGGAGCCTGGATCTGCTCAGCCTCCCTGGGGCTCAGAGTGTGTTGATAAGCTGGGCTCAGCCTGCCCTGCCCATGGCCAGCCTCACATCCTGCCTGGGGCTTCTCCAGAGATGCTTCACTGCCTCCTAACTCACCTAAAAATCTGCCTGAATTTAAGGCTCCAGCTCCAAATCATGACCTGGCCCTGCCTCATGGCAGTGCTTTGGCTTCAGGGCATCGCCTCTCTGTGCCCAGTCTGTAGTGGAGCAGCTGAAGGAATAAAAATTCTCCAAAAATCAAAGCTGAGCCTGGCAGGGCAGTGCTGGCTGTGTGTCCCTGCCCTGGCAGTGCTGCTGGGCGCTCAGCAATGAATCCTCTCTAAACCACAGCACTGCACTGCTTCACCTCTGCAGTTCCCCACTTCCACGCCTCAGAGAAGACGGGAATCCTTTCACCCTGAGGAGGACAAGTGCAGCTTCACACCTATGCAAAGGAAAAGCCAGAGCCTCCCTAAAGCCGGTGGTGCAGAGCCCTGATTTTGTGTGGGTTTCCTCACAGCACACCCTGATCTCCATCACTCGCTGTGTGCAGGGCCTGGCTGCCAGGAAATCATGGAAACCTCATCCCAAAGCTCTGCTCTGCTGAGCCCTGACCTCCCCAGCTCAGCACAGCCTCCCACCGAGGCCTCTCACCAACAACAGCCATGAGATGGTTTCTTTCTGCAGCAAAGGTCACCCTGCAGCAAAAGATGCAGCTAAAATACCCTGCATCACCAACAGGCAGAGGGGTCTCTGTTACCTGCCCCTGCCTTTGGTTCTGGGCTGGATTCTGCCAGACAAACAGAGCTGCACTTCCAGCTGCTCTTTTCATCCGAGCAAATACGGATGTTTGCCCTGCACAATCATTTTCTGTCTCCTGCAGGCAATGAGCAGCAGGGCTGGTTTTGCATCAGAGACACACTCAGCTGCTGGGCTCTGCAGCACAAAGCCAAGGGCAATAAAGCCAGGAGGATTTTACAGTTCCAGGCCGTTTCCACTGCTGCTGTTGAAGCTGCCGCCTCCAGAGAGGGAGCAGGTCCATGGGGATATCACCAACAGGAGCTGTTTTCTCAGCTGCTCCCCAGGAACTCCTCCTCAATTAAATATCTGCCTGCTGGCAGGGTGTCCTCCCCAGTGGCTCTCCATGGCTCTGGGGGTTTATGCCTCCCTGCAGCAGCTGAAGCCTGTGGGGATGGATCTGTGGCTGCATTTTGCTGTGTTTGGTGATGCCCAATCCTGGTTTGTTTGGGTTTTTTATTTTTCTGCCTGTTTTGTCACACAGTTAATGAAGCTGAAAGTCGCAGGAAGTAAATCCCTGTGAGGCTTCTGCAGCATAAAAAAAAAGCCAGAGGTAAATGGTTTTTTGGGGAAAAAAAGCATCAGAACTCCCAGTTTGTGCTGGCAGTGACCCGGGGCTCTGCTCCCTGTCTCTCCTTGCAGGACACAGCTCCTGCTCCCCCTCCTCTGGCAGCATCCCAGCAAAGGTGAGTGCCAGGAGCACCCAGGGAAGGGTTCCTCGTGCCCCTGGATGCCACCACATCCTGGCATCACCATGTTGTGTCCCCTTCTGGGGACAGCCTCGCTTTCTGGCTGCCAATTGAGAATTAAAAAAAAACAATGTAGTGCAGTAGGATTTGGGTTTCCTGTTGCCATAGAAGCACTTTAAGAGGAAATCATCTCTTCCAGGCTGATGCTTGGCCTCTTTCCAGCCCATCACATCCCTGCAGCTCCCCTGGCACTCGGAGAGGAGCTGGAAGGAGCTCAGCATTTGGGGAAGAACAGATATTTTCGGGGCACTGACTTGTCCAGGTGTAGCTGGTGGAAAAGGAAGTCGACTCGGTGTGGATATTTTCAGTTCAGTCAGGGAGAAAAAGAGAAAGATTTCTGCCAGGCTAAACCTGGGGAAAAGTCTGAGAGGAATGTAAACAATCTATTATCTTGTTTGTTCATATTGTTTATAGAAGAGCTGGAAGGAGCTCAGCATTTGGGGAAGAACAGAAATTTTTAGGGGCATTAACTTGTCCAGGTGTAGCTGGTGGAAAAGGAAGTCGACTCAGTGTGGATATTCTCGATTCAGTCAGGGAGAAAAAGAGAAAGAATTTTGCCAGGCTAAACCTGGGGAAAAGTCTGAGAGGAAAGTAAACAATTTATTATCTTGTTTGTTCATATTGTTTATAGGATGTTCTACCACACTGACCTAAGTCCAACGTGCCAATCAGATGAAATGTTTTTACTCTAAGACCAAAGGAATTAATATTCATGATGTTCTCTATAAAAGAGAGAGGTGCTTTTGAATAAACACTCATTTTGCCTTCTGAAATGTGCGAGTCATTTCGCCCATCCCTGGCTCAGCAGCGATAATTTGGGAAGGCGTCACACGTAGGATGTGAAAGGAAAGAGGAATTTAACATCATTGCCACGATTATAAAAGGGAAATAAAGGGGCTTTGAGATATTTAAGACTGACAGATATGAAATCAAGGAGGCATCAGCGATGTTTTGGGGCACGCATTGTATTAATTACATTAAAATGATATAATTCCATGAACAGTGCCAGCAGAGGGAGGGATGCTGGGCCTCGATGGGGTTACAAAGGGACTCACGGTGAAGCGGGAGGCGCTGCCCTGGCGGGATCGCTTTTCAGCCAGCAGGTCCTTGACCGTGTGCTTCACTCGCACTCCCTGGTACACGCGTTTGCCAAAATCTGCGGGGACTGAGCCGAGGCAGAGGTCAGGGGGGCACAGAGCGCCGGGGAGCAGCGATCTGTGCTTCCCCTGGGAGGGGAGAGTGTAAAAATGTACTAGAAATACAGAAAGAGTTGTCATCTAGAAAGATATCTATATCTAAACACAGAAATTATCACATATATATATATAATATCTTCCCATATATAGAGAGAAAATATCGAAAAATTATTTAAATTAGAAAATGTAAATATATTATTAATAGTAATAAATATTATATTATACCAATATAATAGATATTATTTTCAGAAAGCTATTTAATTACTTTATTAAACTGTATTATACGATATTAATGTAGTATTAATATTATATTATTAGTATATTAGGATATATTAGTATATAATACTAATATATTAGTATATAGTAATATATATTATATGCTATAGTACTATATATAGTACTATAGTATATAGTATATAGTACTATATATAATATATACTAATATATATGTAATATATACTAAATATATTAGTATATATAGTACTATATATAGTATTATCTATATAGTACTATATACTATAGTACTTCATTAGTATATAGTACTATAGTATATAGTATAAAGTACTATATATATAATATATACTAATATATATTATAATATATATTAGTATATATTATATATATAGTACTTATAAAATTATATTATATACTAATATATATACTAATATATATTAGTATATATAGTACTATATACTAATATATATATTACTATATAGTACTACATACTAATATATATTAGTATATAGTTCTAATATATAGACTAATAATATTTCAGAAGGCTAATTGATTACTTTATTAAATGGCAAAATTAATTTTAAAATTACTTTAATTTTTAAAAAATTACTTCATTAATAAAAAAATACTTCGACAAAATTTCCTTTGATAAAAATTTGCTTTAATAAAAATTGTTTTAATAAAAAGCACTGTATTAATTAAAAAATTCCTTTATTAAAGTGGAGTCAGAGCACATGATCATGCCCATGTCAGGGATTGCAGCAGCTGTGGGCTGTGGCACAGGTGAGAGCTGAGGGACAATGCAGGGACAGCTTTGCTTTTTCATCCTGGCCTGAGCGCAGCTCGCACCTGTGGAGCCAGGGAGGAGTTTCCATGTGGGCTTTTATTGAATTATCCCGGAAAAATCCTCCCTGCCTTTGAAGCTAATCCCTGGAGAACACGGAGGCAGCTGCCAGCGCCCAGCTGAGCTCTTTGATCTCCAGGATTTGTCCTTTGGCTCTCCTGCCCCTCAGGACGTGTCCCTTGGCTCCGGTTCTGGTGGCTTTGTGGCCACACACACACCTGTGGCAAGCACAATTCTCTCCCTCTCTCGGGATTTTTTATAGAGGTGCACAGAGAGAAATGAAAGAGAAAACAATTTCTATCTCTGCTCCTTGTTTTTCCCATGTGGAATGTGTGTGGAGAATTGTTTCCCTGGGGTGATGCTTGGTTGGATTCTGGTGAGGATTGTTTGAGCCTGGTGGCCAATCCAACCCACCTGGGGCTGGATTCTCAGAGAGGGGCATGAGTTGTGTTAGAGTATCCTCCTTTTATATAGTATATTAATGTATTTTAGCATAGTTATAATAAAGAAATCATTAATCCTTCAGAATTGAGTCAGACATCCTCATTTCTTCCCATTGGATTCACCTGCATTTACAATACACACCAAGAGAGGTGAGAGGGTTTAAACAACGCACTGCTGGCTTGGCCTTGCCCCAAATGGGTGGTTTTTTTATTTTTGGGGGCATAGTAGCTGCAAGTTTGGGCAAGTAGAATTTTATTTTGGTGTTTGAGTGCTGATCAAAGAGCTTCAGCCATGGCCAGGCACAAAGCAAACACAAAGCAAGGGACAGATTGCCAAAAATGAGGTGAGAGTACCAAAAAAAAACACAACAAAAGTGGTCAGAAATGGACATCAGCTCTCACAGGGAGATGAATTTCTGCAGGTTTGGTGCTCTGCAGGTTTTCCTGACACCTTTCTGTGCTCTGGAGGCATTAGAAAATCACTTCCACACCCTTCTGCTGCTCTGGGCTGTGGAGGTCATGTCACATCCTCACTTATTCCTCTGCCCAAATTGTTTTAATTCAGCAACACTCAACCCCTCTAACCCCGGGCTGAAGTTATCACACAACTGAACCTGTTGTTTCCAGTGGATTGTCCAGAGGTTTCTGGTGCTGAGCTGCCAGAACTTCAGAGAGCTCTGCCACTGGCAGCACTGGGGAAGAAAATGCTCATTCAGGCCTGAGTTGATATCATTTCCAAGCAAATTGAATCCAATTTCACATCACTTTGATCTAACTGCCTTTTGAAATAATAATAATAATAAAGCATAGCACTGTGAAGGAATCTAAATTCAGTCTGGAGAAGGCAGAACACGTTAATTGATGCTATTAAATTTTGGGGACATTTAAGATGTCACATGTCTATTCTAGACAAATTTTTGTGGGTTTTTTTTTTCAATAGGAGCCCAAGGACAGCACAGTTTGTTCCTTCCCTGATATTGCCATGAAGATGCCTCAGCCTGTGAAGATCTGAGCTGCTGGAACTCACCTGCTTCCATTGTTGGTGCTGCTGACGAGTCCCAGCTCCCGGATCCTGCAGGAATTTGGGGAAGATCTGTCCCTCATGAGCTTCCCAGAGCAGAGTGAAGCCTGTGCTCATAATTCCCTGGGACACTTCCAGCTGAGCCTGGCGGAAATTGGTTTTCTAGAATTTAGGGATGGCTCCAGCGCCATACCTCGTTTGGGATTTGCTTAAATGCAAATCCCTGGATCTGGGTTTCGCTCCACTTTGCATGGTCAGTGTGGGTTCTTCCCCAGGAGCCTCCTTCCTGTCTGAGCTGGCATTTCATGGGTGAAAAAAAACAGGTTTCTGGGCAGAAAAACACAGGTTTATGGGCAGAAAAACACAGGTTTCTGGGCAGAAAAACACAGGATTCTGGGCAGAAAAACCTCAGGGTGAAGTGCATTGCTAGCAAGCCTTGCAGTGAGGAATAATTATCTTCCAACTGAGGAATCTGGCAGGGAAAACAAGCCTTAGGATGAACATTTTCTCCTGTGTGGGTGTGGGATCCCCATGAGGTGTTGGAGGTCCCCTTGGGTAGGAATTCTGCATTTTTGGGACCCCAGAGGCTGCTCTGGGCTTTCCACACCTCCAGGAAAAGGAAAAGGAAAAGGAAAAGGAAAAGGAAAAGGAAAAGGAAAAGGAAAAGGAGAAGGGAAGGGAAGGGAAGGGAAGGGAAGGGAAGGGAAGGGAAGGGAAGGGAAGGGAAGGGAAGGGAAGGGAAGGGAAGGGAAGGGAAGGGAAGGGAAGGGAAGGGAAGGGAAGGGAAGGGAAGGGAAGGGAAGGGAAGGGAAGGGAAGGGAAGGGAAGGGAAGGGAAGGAAAGGGAAGGGAAGGGAAGGGAAGGGAAGGGAAGGGAAGGGAAGGGAAGGGAAGGGAAGGGAAGGGAAGGGAAAGGGAAGGGAAGGGAAGGGAAGGGAAGGGAAGGGAAGGGAAGGGAAGGAAGGGAAGGGAAGGGAAGGAAAGGAAAGGAAAGGAAAGGAAAGGAAAGGAAAGGAAAGGAAAGGAAAGGAAAGGAAAGGAAAGGAAAGGAAAGGAAAGGAAAGGAAAGGAAAGGAAAGGAAAGGAAAGGAAAGGAAAGGAAAGGAAAAAGCAGGGGCAGGGGCAGCCTGCTGCTCCCAATTCCATCTCCCTCCCGCTGGAGTCTGCTGCCAGCTCGTGGGGCCATCAGGTAAAACCCTGCCCTCCCTCCTGCTGCTCCCAGGGGCTCTGCCCAGCACAGGGGGGCACTCTGTCGCTTGAGAAAGAAGGATGCAGGACACATTTTGTGGGGTATAAAGCAAGGATCCATCCCTGTTTATTTAAGGATGCAGGACACATTTAATGGTGCAAAAAGAAAGGGTTGATCCCATTTTATTTAATGATGCAGGACACATTTTATGGGGTAAAAAGCAAGGGTCAATTCCATTTTATTTAAGGATGCAGGACACATTTTATGGTGCAAAAGGAAAGGATCCATCTCTGTTTATTTAAGGATGCAGGACACATTTTATGATGCAGAAAGAAAGGCTTGATCCCATTTTATTTAAGAATGCAGGACATGTTTTATGGTGCAAAACAAAAGGGTTGATCCCATTTTATTTAAGGATGCAGGACACATTTAATGGTGCAAAAAGAAAGGATTGATCCCATTTTATTTAAGGATGCAGGACACATTTAATGGTGCAAAAAGCAAGGATCCATCCATTGAAAAGAGAGAGAGAACAAAAGCTCAGGCAGGCTCCTTTGAGACACAAACCTCTCACCTGGTGTTTCCTTTTCAAAAATCCTCACACCCACATTTTCTGGATACTTTGGTGGGTTTGGGCACGTGTTTTCCATTTGTAGGGGGCAGAGCCGGGGCTGTGGTGGGATTTGTAGGAGCTGTTGTGTCTTGGCACGACACACCCTGGGCACGTTCTGTACAACCCCTTTCAAAAAGGAGTTTAAACCCTTTAAAACCCTTTTTCAAAGGTGTTTAAACCCTTTAAAATAGTTTTAAAAAGGGGTTTAAACCCGTTAAAATCCTTTTTAAAAGGGCATTTACCTGTGCCAAAGCAAATTTTGGGAGCTGTGCCTCTGCTGTGTTTAACAAAGAGCCCGGGGCAGCAGCTGGGACAGTCAATGTGATTTTAATTCCATCTGATGAAGGAGCAGAGGGAATTTGTTGCTTTATCTCACAGCAAAGAGCTGCAGAATGGGTGGGGTTTGTGTTTACTGTTGGATGAACCAACCCAGGGATGGATTTTCAGTGTGAGGATTTGTTTTAACATTATGTTGGAACCTAAAACTATATTTAACACTCTACTTAAGAGAATTAATACAGCATAATTTTCTAACATTACACATATAATATTCATTGTAATATTTGCGAAAAGCCAAACATAAAATGTGCATTTTCCATGTGCTCCTAAAAGCTATTTTTCAGTTTTTATATTCTTCATTATAAACCCAGCTAACTAAACATTGTGTTGACAAACAATTACTAGTTAACTACTAAGTCCTAACTTCATCGAGGCCTACTCGTTGATTTTAATTAACTCTAGTGAGACTTATCTCTAACTAAAATGTCTAAATTGTAAATCTCTAACTAAAATCTTTAAATTGTAAATCTTATCTCCTCTAAAATCTCTAAATTCCTTAAATTTGTTGTTGTGTTTCCCAACGCCTTGGACACTTCAGGGATGGGCAGGCAGAGAGTGAGGAACCCTCACAGATCCCAGGCCAGCTTTTTCCCAACCCAAACACCTCGGACACATCCAGGGATGGGCAGGCAGAGGTTTTTGTCAGTGAGAAACGCTCGCTGTTCCTTGCCTGGTTTTTCCCAAGGAAATTTCCTAAGGAATTCCAAGGAATTTCCTAAGGAATTCCATTCCCTTAAGGAGCTTAGGAACCTTTGTTGCGTAGTGCTGCTTCCCGGCGGGGCCGCTCGGCCGCTGCGCGCAGGCCGCGGCTCCCCGCGCGCTGATTGGCGGGCGGGCGCGCGCGGTGCGCCGCCCCGCGGTGTCCCCCGTGGGGCGGAGCAGGCCGCGGCCGCGCTCGGGGCCGGTTCGGGGCGATCCCGGGAGCCCCGCACAGGCCGGGCCATGGCGGGCGGCCGTGGCGGCGGGAAGGCGGCCGTGGTGCTGCGCTGCGAGTGGCAGCAGTGCTCGTTCGAGGCGGAGGGGATGGAGGAGTTCTGCGGGCACATGGCGCAGCACCTGCGGCAGCACCTGCCCGGGGAGCAGCGCGCCCAGATGGACCCGCTGGGTGAGGGGGGCTCGGCGGGGCTCCGGTGGCTCGGAACAAGCCCCTGAGGGGGTCGGGCTGCACCCGCAGGGAACGGCAGCAGGAGGGGATTGCCGCCCGGGGATGCTCAGCGGGGTCGGGAGGGGGAATTTCCACACGGAAAGGGCGGCGGGGCTGCACGGGGAGGGTTTGGGGTGCCCAGAGAGGGTTGGGGTGCCCAGGGAGGGTTGGGGTGCCCAGGTTTGGAGTGCCCATCCCTGGAGATGTCACCTGGAGGTGGCACTCGGCGCTCTGGGCTGGGGACAGGGTGGGCACCGGGCACAGCCAGGGCTCCGTGGGCTGGCAGGGCTTGTCCAGCCGAGGGAGCTCCGGGTTTTTGGGGCAGGGGGAGCTCCGGGGCTCTGCTCTCCCCTCCCTGAGCGGGGCAGGGCTGGGGCTGAGCACATGGCAGCTGTGTGTCTGTCTGTCTGTGTCCCAGAGGAGCTGTCTGTCCCAGAACTGTCTGTCTGTGTCCCAGAGGAGCTGTCCATCTGTCTGTCCATTCCAGAGGAGCTGTCAGTCAGTCTGTGTCCCAGAGCAGCTGTCTGTGTCCCATAGGAGCTGTCTGTCTGTCTGTCCCCCGTAGGAGCCATCTGTCTGTCTGTCTGTCCCAGAGCAGCTGTCTGTCTCCCAGAGGAGCTGTCTGTCTGTCTGTCTGTCCCAGAGCAGCCGTCTGTCTGTCTGTCTGTCCCAGAGCAGCTGTCTGTGCCCCACAGGAGCCTCTGTCTGTCTGTCTGTCTGTCCCAGAGGAGCTGTCTGTGTCCCACAGGAGCCTCTGTCTGTCTGTCTGTCTGTCCCAGAGCAGCTGTCTGTGCCCCACAGGAGCCTCTGTCTGTCTGTCTGTCCGTTCCAGAGGAGTACACCTGCCTGTGGCAGGGCTGTGGCTTCTGCTCCCCGGCGAGCTCGGCCGACCTGGTGCGCCACGTCTACTTCCACTGCTACCACAGCAAGCTGAAGCAGTGGGGGCTGCGGGCCCTGCAGGGCCAGGCGGGGCTCAGCCCCTGCCAGCTGGACTTCCAGAGCCACAACATCATCCCTGACATCCAGGAGGACTTCCTCTGCCTCTGGGAGTACTGTGAGGTGACAGCACGGGGCTCTGTGGGACACGGGAGGTGCTGCTGTGGACTTCCCTTGAAGGGTTCCAAACCACCTGTGGCTTCCATTTTAGCCCGTGGAAAAAGCTGCCAACTCTGTATGAGGAGTTACAAACCACAGGGGTTTGAGTAGTGTGGTAGTTGAATTAACACAGGGTGAAAAAGTAGAATTTTGGGGTTTTTAGAGTGTTTAATTCAGGGGTACAAGATGGAGGAATCTGGTGTGTCCCAGCCTTTTTCCCTTTCTCTTGCCCACCATGCCTTGCTGTGCTGGTGACACTTTTCTGTTGGTTTAAGGCAGAGATTCACAGTCTAACACAGGTGGAGGGCACTGGCACAGATCTGTCAACAGCAGCACAAAATTCTGAATATCTGAGGTGGGAGCTGCCCGAGGCTCAGGGGAGACTGCTCTGGCTGTACCAGGCAGAGCTCAGCAGGTCAGAGACAGAATTTTATAGATCAGAAAGAATAAACAACCTGCAAAACTCAATTTCACTCATTCCAGACCTCTCCTTCAGCTGCCAGGCTAGGGGAACAAGGACTTTTATGACTTTGGGGTCATTCCAAGCAAGCAGACCCTGCACAGCTGCTGGCTCTGCAGCTGTGTGGGAGCATCCTGGCTTGTTGTGCTCTCCCTCACCCTGTCCTGTTGTCCTTGC